TATATATATATATATATATATATATATATATATATATATATATATATATATGTATATATATGTATATGTATATATATGTATATGTATATACGTAGGAGTGTCACACTTATATATCTTAAATAATATGCAAGTCTTTCATTTTAATTACAGAATGCAACGTACTTAAGGTTATTTTTCTCTCTCCTGTTTTAAAATATCACCTATAATTAATTTAATTGTCATATATTTGGGCAATTTTTACTATCTAATAATAAATATAGGTAAGCACACTGTGAGGTTTCAAGAGTTCAGAGAGAAAGTATTCGAGCAGCTGCATATTCTTTTATTATATTTTTTAATTTGTTGTGTGTGTGTGTGTGTGTGTGTGTGGCGTGCGCGCGCGCGCGTGTGTGTGATATAATATTATTATTAATGTTCTTACTATTTGAGAAGTTATAAATAGTAATAGTGGATAAATATGAGAGATAAACAATACTAATAATTTTTTCTTCTTTCTCATAAAAGAGAGATCATTGATGATTATCCCAAATCGATCATTAATATTTGTATAAATATGTTTAATATTTTTATTTTTAAATAAAATTTGTAGCTTGCTCGAATCTTAATCTCGAGATTGTTCGAACAGTCTCTAGTTTGTATTATCAGGCACTGAGTCTCAACTAAGAACCTCAGCCTTAACGACAATATTTTAAAACAATCTATGATCAAATATTGTAAGTAACAGCCTTTCTTCAAGAAGCCTTTCTTGTGTTACGACGAACAAGACATTGATCGAAGGGAAAACTCAAGAGTTCATGTGTTTGTTAATTGGCTAATATTTGTAATTTATTTATTCTTGTGAAATTTATACAATTAAATAAAAAATGAATGTAAATAAATTATTTTACTGTAATAAAATTATAATTTTTACCTTACACGAGGAAACACGATAATTAAAATAATAAATAATTCTATAATATGATAATAATTAAAATAATTTACATAACATAAAGAAATAAAAACTAAATTCTTTGATTTCTAGTTGCAAAAATTTTTTACAAATATAATGATTTGTAAAAATTGACGTGTTTAGTTTTTGCTTGTTTAACTGTATTAGTTATAATTAATCATTGATTAGTATATGAAATATTCTAAAAATTCAAAAATGTATTTTTTGTAATAAGTCTTTATTTTAACGAATTAAAACATAAAAAACAGAATTAAGAGGTAAAAATATAGTGTTTAGTTATAAATGTGTAACATTTGTTACTATCTATTTTAATAATTTATTAAAATAAATTTATTAATGTATTATTAATGTATTAAATTAAATTTTCACAAAGAAAAAAATTTATTATGTACTTAATAGTTACAAAATCTGACTTTTATGTGTTAAAAACTGTTAACTTCTTATTTTAACAAATTGTTAAATGTTTTGCTCTTCGAATTAATAGCACCATATAATAATAAATCGTTTTTATATTATTACGGCTATAATAACAAATGTAATCATAAATATCCGAACATAACATTAACATCTTAATGATGTGATGAACAATAAAAACACTATTTTGTGTTGATTAGTATTTATTAAAATTCATCAAAAATTTTAAGAGAAAGGGGAGTCAAAGGATGCATTGTGATATGTTTATGCATTTGTGTCCGTGTGTTGTATATGTGTAGGCAATATATGTGTGCACATAGATATATGATATTCAAATATACAAGTATAAAGTTTCCCCAATCGGAATCGCCATGTAAATATCAAATTATTATATGTATAATTTATATCCAATTTATCCTCGCATTTTACGTCTTTTGTACGAACTACAAAAGCTGAAAGTGATTACTGATTATTTCTTCAGCGCGAGCTACGGAGTAAGCCACACAAATAGTCATCCTACGCAATTTCAATTTTTTTGTCTTCATAAGATTACAAGAAACTTTTACATTTATTGTCATTAAGATGTATTTTTCAATTTTTTTTTAACCCTTAAGTGTTTGTCCATCATTTATTATTACAGTGTTGCATCGTTGCCTAGAAGTTTGCAAAACTGCAAAAATTTATTAAATGTTTTAGATTTTATAAGTAAAATATGGAAAAATGATAAATTTATACTCTTTACGTTATTCTCATTTGTGTTACATTTGAATTTTTAAACATTTAAGGGTCAAGATATAACATTGCACATAGTACCTAATATTAATTACATTCACAAAAAGCTATCATCTTAACTTCGTTTTATGACATCAGAAATAATCATTTGCCTCCTTTTTTTTCTGTTTTCATCATAATTTATAATTGCGTATTCATATTAAGAACACAGAAGTATTGTATGCATAAACTTTTTCTTAAGAGTAATTATTGTCTTTCGTTTCCAATATACATCGGCACGATGTAATACACTTTGATGGATTATCGAAGAATATACTAGAGTTTCTTACATTAAGTTAATGTACAATGTCAAAATTTGTTAGATATATGTGTGTGTGTGTATATATATATATATATATATATATATATACTTATTAGTTTATTCGTACCTAAGTTA